GTTCCTGCTACTGACTTGTATTTTTAACCCCCAAAGAGTCAAAGGTTGTAGAAACAGTTCTAGAAGAAGCTTTCCTTACCCTTAACATAGGTCTGAAAGGATCTGTCAACTGTGAAGAGAAAATGACAACTCGGTTACATGCCTGTCACTCAAACAATTGCTCTAATTAACAAATTTGTAGTGCTTCATTAGGAGGGGAAATTAAAATGTTAGAATTTTACTTTTAAATGAAGCCCTTTTAGAGAATAATTAACCCATTTTCACACCATCAAAAGTACCAAGTGTCCCCTCCCCCACCTCAGGCATCTCAGAACATGCACAATGGCAAGCTCCCCCCACCCATACAAGTTTCACCAGCAGAGATGTATCCTATGCCAGAATGACTTGTGTGTAACCTACACCATGAGGGGCCCCATTTTGACTGGCTCTGCTGCAGGCCACCGTATGGGGCTCAGAAAAGAGAGTAGTCTCAGACCACAAAATGAAGGGTGCATCTGGTAATATCTGTCTTGTCCAGACCCTGTAGACCCAGGCTGTTTTTAAAACATCCTGGCTTCAGTGAGTATGTGCCACCTCTTCCACACACAAAAAAAGTCACTAAAATAAAAACTGCTTAGAGGGGGTATAGTTATTAAAGACGGTAAACAGACAAGCTCCCCTACATCATGCAGCTTCACCTTCTGTTTTAAAGGCAAGCATAGCATCAATTATGAATGAATAACGTAACTGGGGCATAATGGATATTTTATTTAGCTCTAGAGCATGCTCCATTTATGAGATCAGAGTGGTCCAGTAACTTCCTGACCTCAAACAAGAAGAAGAGGGTATGTGTATATGTGTGTGTACTGGGGGGTCCCTAACTTCCAAGAAGAAAGTGCTCAGTGCTTTTCCATTCAGAAGATTCTATGGCTATTTCTTTTGTGCCAGAGAGAGGTATGCAGCTATAGACAGCTGACCCATCAGATGGAAGGTAGACAGGCTGGCGGCATTCAATTTCTGGGCTCAGAACCTTTTCTCTTTTGTTATCGGAGCCAAGTCATTAATTACCCTGTGTCATTCTTGCAGTTGGGGAGACCGTGACTTCTATAAGGGACAGGCATTTTCTGACACGAACCATCAAAGGCGGGAGCCCCGGGTGGGCCATCATTTGCAAATGCCCCAGGTGTTTCCTGTGTC